CAGGTGGGTGGGAGTGAGGGTGTCAGAGTACTATAAATTGGGTTGTAGCTTTGAGAACTCTGGTGGGCGTGGCTCTCTTAGGCAGCTGTCTGGTCACCCTCCTGCCCTGAGGACTCTGAGCTAACTCCACTTAATTGCTCCTTTCTGCCAGCCAACAAGTTCCCATCCGGAAAGCCCTAGAGAAGGCAGTGCTCCAGGCTGGCACTGCAGGGTCTCAGCCACCTCAGGGAGGATGCTGGGCGAGTGTGCATGGACAGGACTTGTGCCCTGGGAACAGAGGCACATGGTTCATCTTGGTCATATCTAGGTGCACTGGGTGCCTTATCTGCATCATCTTCCATCCTTGCAATAGCCTTGTGGGGAAGGTGTGGACCCATTTTGTGGATGAGAAAATTGAGTCTTAGAGAAGTGGCTTGTCCAAGGTTGTGGAGCTCATAAGTGGTTCTTGTTCAGGATACCAAGCTGCCTCTCCAACATGGAGAGAGATGGCATTAGATAGCCATCAGCAAGGCAGCGAGCAGTGGCTGTGGTTCCAGAACAACGTGAGAGAAACAAGCAAGAATTCTATTCTGTAGAGTGGAAATGGCACTGTGCTGAGAGTCAAAGCTGAGGCTCAGGTCCTCCCACCTATCAGCTGCATGACCTTGGATACACCATGTGCTGCTTCCGAGCCTCGGTTTCCTCCTCTGCCCTGGCTGCTTCACAGGGTTTTTGGGGAAATCAAATGAGAGGATGGATATAAGTGAGTGTGCTTTATAAACTGTGAAGTGCTGCACAACGCCGTGTGATGTGGCTGTGGTTATGCTTGTTACTCTCATGGGAGTCGAGTCTCAGTAGGGCTGGTCTAGCCAGGGTGACTCTCCTCCTGCAGGCTCCTTCTGAAGCAAAGAAGGGCCTCAGCCCAGGAAGGGACATGGGGCCCTGTTATGGATTGAATTGTGTCCCCCCAAAATATCTGTTAACTTGGCTAGGTCATGATTCCCAGTATTGTATGATTGTCTACCATTTTGTCATCTGATGTGATTTCCCTATGTGTTGTAAATCCTATCACTATGATGTAATGAGACGGATTAGCAGCAGTTATACTGATGAGATCTACAAGATTAGATAGTGTCTTAAGCGAATTTCTTTTGAGATATAAAAGACAGAAGTGAGCAGAGAGACATGGGGACCTCATACCACCAAGAAAGCAGCACCGGGAGCAGAGCGTTTCCTTTGGACCCGGGGTCCCTGTGCCTGAGAAGCTCCTCGACCAGGGGAAGATTGATGACAAGGACCTTCCTCCAGAGCCAACAGACAGAGAAAGCCTTCCCTGGAGCTGATGTCTTGAATTTGGACTTGTAGCCTACTAGACTGTGAGAGAATAAATTCCTCCTTGTTAAAAGCCATCCACCTGTGGTATTTCTGTTATAGCAGCATGAGATGACCAAGATAGGCCCCCTTCAAAGTTCACTCCACAAATATTTGTGGGAAATTTTAAGAATGGAAAGACCTACTCAACAGGCACCTACTGTGAGAGACGAGTGAGGCGTCAAGCCAGTGTGGCCAAGCCCTGGTAACAAACAGTTGACAACAGGCCAGGCTGAAGCAGGGCAACAACCAGGCATGAGGTGGATAGGCCATAGGGTCTGGAGTCACAACCCCTCAATGCAAATCCCACTGCAGCCCACAGAGACTGTGTGACCCTGAGCAAGTTACTTCTCTCCAAGTCTCGGTTTCCTCATCTGCAAAATGGTAATAAGACTCACCTCATGGGGCTGTTGTGAGAATCAAACATGACATGCACATACAGCACATAGCACAGAATCTGGCAGGTGGAGGTATTCAGTGGATAGAATGGTGTCAGGATGGGTGGCTGCAAGACAGGGCCTGCTCTGATGACCTCATGAGTCTCCAGGACTTGGAGCCACCACTTTGGTGTCTCCTTGAGCTTTCTGAACTTCTTCTCAAGCCACAACGGCACTTGTCCCCATCCCACTATCTTGGCCTCATCCTGAGAAGTCAGGTGGATGGTCTCTTCTAGGGAACTGAGACCTCAAAGCAAGTTCTCAGAATCACGGACACCCTCAGAGACAAGACAGAAGGAAGGGATGAGCAACAGGTCTGAGGAACCACCTGAATTGCTGGTCCTCAAACCAACCCCTGTGAGCTCGGAGCTGCATCCCTCCCTCCCCCGCCCTTGCATCCCACCTACATCCATCTACAACCACCAGCTGGAGGCTGGGCAAACGCCACGGAAGAACATGGATGACTTTTTTTTTTTTTTCTTCATCTGTCATTTTCCTGTCCTGAGGTTTTCAAATGAAATTCAGGCTCTGGGTGGCTCAAAGCCGAGGGCTCCCATCTACAATTATTTGGGGACAAATTGGTACAAGCAGTAATCTCTGCTGAGGAGATTATGCTTGATGGAAAGAAGCCCGAAACGACTGGAGAGATAAAGCACACGCCTGTTGCCTCTAAACCCTCAACTTCAGCCTGCGCCGTCGTAACAGCTGAAGGGAAGTAGAAATGGCTTTCTCAAAGAGCAGTGGCGGAGGTGAGGAGGGATTTTCCTGTGACTTGCCTTCCTCACCTCCCCGGCTCCTCCATTGGGGGCAGGTATAATGATTGGCTCTGTGTGCACAGGGCTAGGAGGGAAGTGCAGGGAAAGGAAAGGAAGAGCCTCGCTGAGCGGGGCAGAACCTTGGAGTAATAGGGAGTAGAAATGACAATGACCAGGTCCTGGGGACTCGGCCAACCTCACCACCATGCACTCAACTATGCTTTCATGGACTTATGAGGAAGAGATGAAGATGCTCTGTGACTTTCAAAATTCTCTTGCTATGATGAGAATATGGGTTCTGGAGTATTCAGACTGGATCAAACCCTTTCCCTCCTATCCTATTCCACAGCAGTTCTTTGACTTATTAGGACCAGCATCATATTGGGGACCAACACTCGTCTCTCAGTTTGTCATACAGTGGTGGCCTGCATGTTGCTATGATGCTGGAAGCTATGCCACCAGTATTTCAAATACCAACGGGTCACCCATGGTGGACAGTGTTCAGCAGAGCTTCCAGACTAAGACTAGGAAGAAAGGCCTGGCCACCTACTTCTAAAAATTAGCCAGTGAAAACCCTATGGATCACAATAGAATGTTTTCTGATATAGTGTTGAAAGATGAGCCCCCTACATTGGAAGGCACTCAAAATGCACAATGGCCACAATACTGGATTTGAGCATAACAATGATCATGAAGATGGTGCAGGACCAGCAACATTTCTTTCTGCTGCACATGGGGACGTCATGAGTTGGAGCCAACTCAATGACAACTAACAACAACATGTTGGGGAAGAAGTAAAGCCCAGTGATGGGTGAAGGGACTTGACCAAGGCTGCAAGGCAGGTTGAGTGCGGCCTGAGGAATGAAATCCAGGTTTTCTGACTCCAGGACCAGGGCTCTGCCTTCTCATCACACTCCATGGTCCTCCTTGTGGAAGCCAACGCAGCTTACCTGGGGCTAAGGCTTCACACTTACAGCCTATGTGCAGAAGTGGGGTGGCTTTGGGCTGCCCCATCTCCCCCTTAGGTTTTTTGCCCCTCGAGACCTGGAGCTGGGGTCTGGCTGGCAGAGGCGCAGGAGGGAAGATTAAGGGATGGCTGTGACATCTGGGGTCTTAAAAGCTAGTGAGCGGCCATCTAAGGTACATCAATTCGTCCCAACCCACCTGGAGCAAAGGAGAATGAAGAACACCAAAGACACAAGGAAAGTATTAGCCCAAGAGTCAGAAAGGTCCATAGAAAACCAGAGACTCCATTAGCCTGAGACCAGAAGAATTAGATGGTGCCTGGCTACCACCAATGACTGCCCTGATAGGGAACACAACAGAGAGTCCCTGATGGAACAGGGGAAAAGTGGGGTGCAGAACTCAAATTCTAGTAAAAAGACCAGACTTAATGGTTTGATTGGGACTCGAGGAACTCTGGAGGACATGGCCCCCAGACTCTCTGTTAGTCCAAAACTAAAACCATTCCCGAGGCCAACTCATCAGACAAAGATTAGACTGGACTATGAGACATAAAATGATACTGGTGAAGAGTGTGCTTCTTAGCTCAAGTAGATACATGAGACTAAATGGGCAGCTCCTGTACAAAGGCGAGATGAGAAGGCAGAGAGGGTCAGGAGCTGGCTGAATGGACACAGGAAATCCGAGGTGGAAAGGAGTGTGCTGTCACAGTATAGGGAAAGCTACTAGGGTCACATAATAATGTATAAATTTTTGTATAAGAGACTAACTTGAATTGTAAACTTTCACTTAAAGCACAACAATTAAAAAAAAAAAAAAAAAAGGGATGGCTGTGGTACTACAAAGCTGAGGGGCCTAGGGGATGGAAACGGTGAAATAATGATCTTGGCGTCATCAGTCCCAGAGTCAACACTTGCGAAAACCAGCCCAGTTGCTCCACAGGCACTACTGAGCCCAGAGGTCAGCTGGGTGCTGTGTGAGGAGCTAAGTGGATGGTGAGTGGACACAGTGCTGTCCTCAGAGGATTTACTACCTACTGTGGGAGACAGAGGAGCCCTGGTGGCGCTCAGCTACTAACTGAAAGGTTGGCAGTTCGAATGCAGCAGCCACTTCGCGGGAGAAAGATGTGGCCATCTGCTTCCATAAAGATTACAGCCTTGGAGACCCTATGGGGCAGTTCTACTCTGTCCTATAGGGTTGCTGTGAGTTGGAATCGACTCGACGGCAGCGGGTTTGGTTTGGTTTTGGTGGGAGACAGTCGGCTCACTGGTAAGCAGAACTGAGGCATCAGAGAGAAAAGTCGGAAGCGTCTTCAGGTGGAGAACAGGTCCTTGAGAAGTCTGGGTAGGACGTGGTAGCTGGGTAAATCTCCTGCCTCTTGAACTGCTATTTTCTCAGCGGTGAAATGAGGGGCTGGGACTGGATGACCTCCAAAGCCCTCTTCAGCCTGGACGGTCCAGGAGCTGTAACCCTGTGGTCGTGAGGGTCCACTCACCTCTTCTCCTGTCAGGTAGAAGGCTGAGAGGAGTCCTCCGATGTAGCGGATGTTCACCTCAAACAAGGATGCCTCTCCACTCTGCAGGACAGAAGGAAGGAGGGGGAAGGACAGTGGGGACACTCGTGAGATGCCTGTAGGGCTCCCAGAGGCAGCCAGGCCCCTGGAACCAGATCACCTCATCCCACACCCTGTCGATCTGGCCACACCTGCGCCCAGTTCTGGAGCATCCCTCGGTGGCCAGGTGGTTTTCACAGCAAAAGGTGAGAGGGATCAGAACCTGCCTGGCAGGCTGTGACTGTAAGTTTACAGCGTTCCAAATAAACACTTGGCTTGGCTTCCTTCCTCAGCCCTTGCTGGAGGCCATCGGAGCAAACATATGCTGGCTTTGCTCCGAGGAGCTCAGGAACCTGCGTGGGAGTTGCAGGCGGAAGCTTAGCCTGAGGGGAGGCAAATCCTCCTCTAGTTGGGCCACATCCCCATCCCAGGATGCCCCAGCTTCACAGGAGGACAGGGCATCCCTTCCTGGGGGTCAGAGGGCACGGGGCGGGTTCTCAGTGGTGGCTCTGGGGCAGGCAGGGCAGGGCCCAGGCTAAGAGGGGAGCAGTGCCAGGCAGGTACTTGTACCATAACCCGCAATTTCTCAGGCCCTCAGCGCTGTAGCTCTCGGGGCACACCCACGCTTGCCTTAATCATTGTTATTTTCTTTCTTAAGTCTGGACTGCAAATCAGGGGTGTTAGGGCATCTCCCTGAGGCCCAGATCTGGGTTAAAATCCCCACCTGAGCCACTCACTCAGCTTTGGGATGTCGGGCAGGATGTTTAGCCTTTTCCTGTCTGAGTTTCTTCATCTGTAGATGTGAATGACAAGACTTCCCACCGGGCGGACGTGAGAGGGAGAAGGTGCATGTAAAATGCGGCACAGTGCCTGGCACGGTCTTAACAAATCGGGCCTGCCATTACCTCCCTTCTCCAGGGGCTCCCCGTGGACGCCTCGTACATCATGGTCTTTTATTATTGGTAACAGCAATATCAATCCCTTTATCTGGGAGAACTTTTCCACTGATGAAGTACTTTTTTTCTCATTGTGGTAAACATGTATGTAACAAAACATTTGCCAATTCAACAATCTTCACGTGTACCATTTAGTGACATTAATTACGTTCATCATGTTGTTTAACCATCACCATTACCCGTTTCCAAATTTTTCCATCACCCTTAACAGAAACTCAGTGTCCTCTAAGCAATGAGTTCCCCTTTTCCTCTCCCTCCTGCCAACTCCTGGTAACCGCTAGTAAACTTGATCTCTGTGTTGTTGTTGTGTGCCATTGAGTCAATGTCAACTCACAGCAACCCTATAGGACAGGTTAGAACTGCCCCATAGGGTTTCCAAGGCTATAATCTTTATGGAAGCAGACTGCCACATCCTTCTTCCATGGATCGGCTAGTGGGTTCGAACCGCCAACCTTTCAGTTAGCCGTAAAGTGCTTTAACCACTGTGCCACCAGGGCTCCTTTTGGTCTCTTTACACCTGCCTATTCTAGATATTTCATATATGTGGGTCACTGACAAAGCCCTTTTGAAGCCACTCTCTCTTAACCTCACTGTGCTCAGGGTGGTCAGTGAGGCAGGTGCACCCTCTCTTGCCCATTTTTCTGCTGAGGAAGCCAAGGTTCAGAGAGGTGGGGTGGCCCCCATGTTGCCTTCTTCCAAGGATGCTCCCTAGCTGGCCCCAGTCTGCCTGAATGTCCCCAGGCTCCCATGGCCCTGCCACGGCCTCACCCCTTCTCCACCCAGAGAAGCCAGGGGACAGGGTGGCCTATGCAGACAGCCCCCTTCCTTCTCCTTCCTCTGACTTCTCCAAGTTGACTGAGTAGGTAATGGGCGGATTCTGAACTTCCTTACCTCACACAGACTACCAGAAGTCATACCAAGCATGGGAATAACCATAACAATCAGGATGACTAGGATGATAGCATCTTACATATGTATTAGATTTTATAGTGTTATGAAATGCTTTTTACAACCCCCATTCTGTTTAACTCTCACAATGAGCCTGTGAATTAGGCATTATTATTGTTGTTGTGAGGAGCCCTGGCGGCACAAAGTTAAGCGTTCAGCTGCTAACCAAAAGGTCATTGGTTCAAACCCACACAGCAGCTCCATGGGAGAAAAGACCTGGCAATCTGCTCCCATAAAGATTACAGCCTAGAAAACCCTATGGGGCAGTTCTACTCTGTCCTATAGGGTCGGAATCGACTTGATGGCACCTAACAACATTGTTGTTGTCATCTTATAGCTGAGGAAACTAAAGCTCAGGAATTTAAAATGACTTTTCCAAAGGGTGCAGAACAGCCAGGACTCAGGGTCTTCTGCCTTCCAGGGAAATGCTCCTGTACTGTTGCTCTTCCAGACTGCTCCCTGTGTGTATCTATCCAGCTCTGTGCTGGCAACACTGGCCTCTCCAAGAGGTAGAGGCCTCACTTCTGCACAAGCCGCAGGAGCCAAGCCCAGACTTGTTCCATCAGGGCCTGTCACTGGTGGAGCCTGGACAGAGCCCTGTGGTGTGTTTAACCTGACCTCCTGCCCCCTCCCATCTGTCTCCACTTCTCACTCCCCAAAACTTTCTAAACAGCCTCTCTCTCTGGTGAGTTGAGACCTCTAGGATTGAAAAGTGAGGGTGAGGTCTGGTTTTCAGGGCTTTTGTGACATCAAAATGCATTACTGTCTCCTCTGCAAGGCCACTATCCCTGACTGGGGATGCCCACAAGGTTGAAAACCAAGGGGGTACCAGGCCTGATCATGGGCCTTTAAACAGGCGTACCCCTCCCCCCATCTCAAGAGAGCAGTGCGGAGTGCTGGAGCAGCTCCGAGCAGATGAGTTGGCTTTTCCTGTCCACAAAGCCATTTCCCTTGCTGCTGCAGCAGCTGCTGTTCCATGGGATCAATTTGGCCCTAGAAGGAACTTCCTGGGTGTGAGCAACGTGCCTAGGAGGACTGATGCTTGACACCCCAGGAAGGAGAAAGTCGTGGCTACCCTCCCAGGGGAGGCGGCCAGGCTGGTCAGTACTCGGGGACCAGCCGGGGTGGGGTGGGGGTGGGGGGTGATGTCCAAGGCTGGTCTTAGGGGAGGGGATGTGACACTAAGAGCATTGAGGCCCTGGTTCTGGGACTGCTCTGTGGTGTAGCTTTGGGAAGACTCTCCATGTGTCTGGGCCTCAGAGATGACAGGGTGGGGCTGACCCTAATGCCCCGGGGGCCTGCGACTCACCACATTCAGGTGGAAGCTCTCTTCAACCCAGGCCTTGGCCTCTTGGAACTCCTCCTTCAGCTCCATGAGGTAGAGGGTGTCGAGGGAATCAATGATGGTTGCCCCACTGAGCCCTCCTGCAAGACAGAAAACCAGTGGTGTGACCCAGGGTCATTCTTATCCTTTCCATCCCCACTAAACAAGCCACCATCCCTAGGACCCCTTCTAAATGCCTGGGCAGGCTCTAGTGCAAAGGCTGGCCCCAGGCACGAGTCCAGGGAGACCCCATTGCCAATAGGGAAGGCGAGTCCAGGGAGACCCCAGTGCCAATAGGGAAGGCAAGTCCAAGACCCAGCGTGCTGCCCACGTGCTGCTTCCTCCCCAGAGTGGCAAAGGGCAGGCAGAAGAGGCCGTGTTCACAGGCTGAACCATTTCCCAGACCTTGGTCCACTCTTGTACTGGTCAGCTAGTCAACCACCAAGGCTAGTCAGGTGCCCGCCACCCTCCCGTGATGCTGGGGTGGGGAGTGACCTGGCATTTGACCTACAAAAATCTATGAAAAAGTGTAAGTCCTCTGACTCTTCAATTTCACTCTCTATTTTATTCTAAGAAAAAAGTGTTCATAAATAGTTAGCTAGGAAGATAGTTATTTCAGTACTGTAATGGCAAAAAACCCCACCTGTCGCTGTTGAGTCAATTCCAACTCATAGCAACCCTATAGGACAGAGTACAACTGCCCCATAGGGTTTCCAGGGTTGTAATCTTTATGGAAGCAGGCAGCCACATCTTTCTCCTGCAGAGCAGCTGGTGGGTTCACACAGCTGACCTTTCAGTTAGCAGCCAGAGCGTTTAACCATTGCATCACTAGGGCTCCTACTGCACCACCAAGGCTCCTTAATAGGGGATTAGTTATATAAATTATGGCTCAAATATAAAATGGGATGCTATGTAGTCATCCATGTGGGGGATGCAGGCCTGTGTTTATTTACTTGGAGGGCTATCTATGGGATCTGTTAAATGAAAAAAAAAAAGTAGATCCCAAAAAAAGCACAGTATAATCTCTTCGTTATAAAACAAACATTATGTGTGTATGGAACTAAGTCTGGGAGAATGTGACCCAGTGGTTATCTCTAAATGCTGACATTACAGGTGCTTTTTGATTTCTTCAACTTGTGGATTATGCTTATAATAAGAAATGCATTTCTTTTGTGGGGGGGGGTGGGCAGGAGGGGGAAGGAAGAAAAAGAAAGTTTGGGAAAAGAAGCCACACAAATGCACAAACCAAAGACTTCCTGGCCAGGCTTGCTCCAGGACGGTGAGTACACAGAGGAGCTGTGAGGCCTGGCTCCCGCTGCTGGGTCTCAGAATCTAGCTGGGGGAGTGAAGGCTGAGGTAACTGTGCAAAACAACCGTCATCCACACCACACATTGGTCACGTGGCACAATCAGAGCCTGGAGTGTAGGGGACCGGAAAGGAGGAGGGGAGGGAGAAAGAGATGTGCCTGGTACCATCTGGAGGGCTTTCTGGAAGAGGTGGCTGCCTCCCAACAATTCCTTACAACTACAGTTATTGACAGGAGCAACAATTTCCTTTAGGGACCAGAGTGGAGGCCCCAAGAGGGGTCATTGTGTCTTCAGTGTTCTTTTTGCAGAGGGCTGAAAGCAATGAGAATCATCAGCCTATCTTCTCCCAGAGGAAACTCTTCTCAAGAACTCTGACAGGCGCTGAGCCCCACTTGAGCATAAAGCACTGGCTTTGCGAGCACCTTCAACATTCAGAGTTAGCATCTTACCTCCTTAATTAGTGCTTCCTTAACTGCTCACTTGTGTTGACTTTGCAGGCAGCGAATTCTTCTGAAACTCAAACACTTAACTACCTCTCTAGGCCAGGAAAGGTCTGACAAAGGCAGGGCTTCGAACTGGTTCAGTCATGGCTGACAAAGCAAAACTGGAAGAGATCTGAATTTTTAAAATTTGGGTGAACCAGATAGATGACTGGAATGGGAAAAATTACAGGTCACAGCCCTGAAATGGGAGACTTGGAAGAGGCATAGTGAACCCTTTCAGGAGCCTGTGTGGGAGACTGGATTATTGACAGGAGTGTGGAGAGCAAAACACCCTCAAAGTGGTGCAGTTGGCGGCCATCTTTGAGTGGGGCACCACTGTTTCCACTCCGCTCAAAATCAAACGGGCAAGAGATTTCTTTGCTACGTAACGTGCATGCCGTCTTTGCCTGCTAAGAGGGAAATTAAATTTCTAGCAGGGCTTCGACCCGTAATTATTCTGGTTATCGTTCTGGTTCCCCCATATTTTGAAAATTCATGTTTGTTCCGCTTTCACATCCTTGGCCATGACTAAACTGGGCAGAACCAGTTTGAAGCCCTGGATAAAGGGCCTGGCCAGGATAGAATGGGAGGGTGAGGGAAGTACCAGGAGGGAGAAAGATTTAAAGAATCCATCTCCAGAGGGAGGGTTTGCAATGGAAAGTGGAGGAAGCGGAGGGCTGAGGGAAATTAGTGGCTTCCCAGTTCTGAGTCACAGATCCTGGGATGGCTTTGGTATTTGGGCTGAAGTGAATTTCCAGAGTATCAATCCCTCCCATACTCAAGGATTGGTACAAAAACACACCCCAAAGCCAAACAGAGTTGATCCTTTTCGGGTTTAGTCAGGGCTGCTTCCCCTGTAGGTGTCCAGGGCTGAGTGTGGTTCATGGGCACTTTTTCACCCTGTTGAGGTGCTTGGGCCACAGAGCACGGGGCCTGGTGTCCACACTTCTGATTCTGAAGCTAGGGTCACTCCTGTTCCATTACAGGGCCTCAGTCCTGATTCTTTACTGGGCTGGAGGGATTTTTGAGATTCCTCTGCCCAAGCCCTTCATTTCATAGATGAGGACCGCAGAGAGGGGCTGGGGTGAGTCCAAGATTAGACAGAGGAGGAAGGAACCCGGGCTCCAGCTGCATGCAACGTGTTTCCATCTCCTAGCATGGCCTCTCAGTTCTTGGTGCAAACAGTTTCAGTTTTGGATCTAATTGCTATCCCCACCTCATCCCACACTTTGCAGTGGGCAGGAGGCCACTATGATCAGTTACAGCTTGAAGAGCCGAGCATTCTTTAAGGCCAGGGGAGAGGTGTTCCAGAATATCTGGTTTCTGCATCCTGTCCTGGGCAGCCTAGTGTTTTCACCCCACGGGCTCTCCTTCCCCTGGGCTGAGCATGAGCCCAGAGGCCCAAGGACCTTGGCTGAGCCAAGTGGGCAGCCAGGGCTCCTCATGACCCACTCCACCCCATGACAACCGTGGGGACATTCTCCTTCCCAAATGCTCCGGAGTGGGCTTGCTGCTGAGAAGGCTTTAAGAGATTTGTTGGCAAGATTCTGTCCCTGTTCTCAGGTTCCTGAATCCTTCTCTTGGTTCATCTCCCACCCTGGCCCCCACCTACCACACAGCTGGGCCAAAGTCCAGCAAGGCACTTATTGGAAAGCCTTTCATTTCAGGCCACAGGTCACACACCTCCTCCGACCCCACCACCACCCCAGCCAGGTTAGGCAGCACCCTAACTGCACCTGCAGCTCCCCAGGGCAGCTCCCCGGGTGGTGGTGGTGGGGGGGGAAGGCACACGCCTTTGCAGTAAACAGGCCCACCATTCATATGCAAAGAGCCAACAGGGCACAAAAAGTCAGGCAGTCAGCTTGGAAGCTCCTTGGGGTTAGGGCTGGGGATGGGTTCCAGGCTGGCCCTCTCCCAGCTCCCACCTGCACCCTCCTTGTTCACAAAAGAGTCCCTTCCTGCCAGGGCAGGCCCAGGAATCAGAGAGCCCCAGGTTCAAATCCCAGCTTGGGTCAGCAACCCATCTGCTTAAGTTTCAAAGTCCTCATCTGTAAAATGAAGTTAAGACCACTGGGCAAGGACCAAGCTATAATAAATCAGTTTCCTGTTCTTATTTGTGGGGTCTCTTAGCTCACCTTGAAACACTGGCCTGGCCAGGGAATGGGGGGAGGGGAGCAAGGTATGGGAGACTCTCTTGCTCCTTCCCTTTGCGGGGTAGTGGTCGCTTCACCTACTGAAGAGAGTCTCTTCAAAGTAACCTCACACAGTGGTTAAGAGGCTGGCTTTGGTGTCAGGGAGATGAGGGTTCAAATCCTAGCTCCTTCACCAGTTGTGTGCGGGGCAAGTCACTTTACCTCTCTAAGCCTCATTTTCCTCATCTGCAAAATGGGGATAACAGTAAGACCTATCTCATAAGGCTGCTGGGAGGATTGAATGGAGCAGTGGATGGAAAGAAGTTGGCACATGTGAACTCAGCTCAATAAAAAGAAGTGGGAATGTGTGGCCCTCATTGCCCCTGACTGATCCCTCTGCAAAGGCCTGTGGGCTGGTGAGGTCTTGTGCTCCTGAAGGTCAGCAAGGTCTGTGATGTTGCTTTCAGGCAGAGTGGGCATGAAGGTCAGCAAGGTCTGTGATGTTGTTTTCAGGCAGAGTGGGCAGGAGACTGCAGCTTATGCAACTCTTGGCCCAACTTAAAATGACACATGGGTCCTATCTGTTGCTAAGGCCATTACTATCCTGACCTGATGTGTAGCTGACTCTAACAGGGTCTTCCTGCTTCCAGGACCCCTTCGCCTCTGATTCACCCTGTACATTTTTGCCTGACCTGTCCTCCTCCAACCAGCTTCAATTCTGTCCCTCCCCAGCTCAGGAACCTACAATGGCTCCCCAGTACCCATGCAATAAGGCTTGTGAAGCCTTTTGGGTCTGTCCCCAAAAGAGATTGCTAATCTCATCTCCTGTCCAGCTCCGCTGCCTCCTGCCTCCATGCTTTGGCACATGTAGTCTCCTCTGCCAAGCATGCCTCTCTGTGCCTCCTGGCATGTTGAAAGTCTACACATTCTTCAAGGTCCACTTCCCACTGGCAGCCTTCCCTGATTCCACCCAGCTGTAAGTAACCTCCCCCAGCCCAGAAGGTACCCAACTGCACTTTCTCAGGCTTCTCGCTCAGGCGCGCACCGTTCCCTCCTGCACTGTGGGGCTTTATCTCACCCTCTCACTAGACTGGGAGCTCCTTGAGGACAAAGGTTTCCCACTGCCCCTCCTGCCCCTACCCCCAACCTTCCCAACCTTGTCTCTGATCAACCCCAAGG